GATGCAATTATGTGACTTTGTATAGATTCATTATTTGTGTTGAGGAATTATTACAAACCTTATCGTGTTTTAATACTTTTGCCTATTACGATAAGTGAAAGACTTTATCTAATATGGATCATTTGATTGCCTCCCGATATAGCTTCGTGCTAGTCACATCAATTTGAGACAATGTCTGACATATCTCTCTATTAAATTCGTACCATCTACACCATTAAAGCACCGAATAATTACAATTGGATTTATTAATGATTATCATTTTATGTAGGTACTATTAATTAGTATTGTCATTTAATGTTTATATTTATCATTCCTATTTTATGCAAGTGTTAATTACATTATATAAATAACATTCTTGTTTTATGCAAGTGTTAATGAAGCCATTCTCACTAATACCTCTAATTGTATGCAACTGACATAGGAGTCAATATAATTGTACTCCAGGGTGAGAGATTTCATATGTACCCGACATTAAAGATTTTAAGTTATCGTTTAGTAAAAATTCTGATGTGGCCACTCAAGAAATAATACACATTAATCGATTTTTTTGTAATAATTGTTAACAATTTATATTAATATTTGTGGTTTAATATTTGTTTATGCTTTATATATTGAACATGTTATTTAATGGGATGTGTCATATTAAATAGGTAATCTAAGGGATATTTTATAAATATGAACTAAATATAAACATACTTAACTAAATATAAAATCAATATCTACATAAAAATATTAGTACATAATAATAAATATATCAATCCTTATCACTCGACCTTTTGACTTAAAGTTAGACAAATAGGCTCTATTATCTATATGGAATTTTTTAAAAAGGTCGATACTATCATCTTTGCAAAGGGAAAAACTAGGCAAAGGTGATGTTGTGGTCACTACTACTAGTGGTAAGGATGGCATGGGCACGAGCGAGCTGAGAGGTGGTAATGTTGATAGAACTAGGGATAGAGTGGGCATGAATGGGCTTGAAGGTGTCGATGTCAATGGGATTGGGGATGGAGTTGACATAAGCATTTTAACCGGTCTAGGTGGTTTGAATGCATAAACTGATGGTGTAGGAGTCAATGCTGGTCTAGATTAACTGCTACTGCCTACTGTAGACAAGAAAAGGCATGTACTATGATAGTTACATATTTTCATATGACAATACTTTGATCAAATTCGCTAGACAATACATGTTCAATGAAAGATAAAGCAACTGAGCTCTGCTACAAAATATTAATAAGGTTATCAATATTAATATCATATAATTAAAATTAACAAAGTAATAAAAAACCATAAAATGATAAAATTTGTTACTTATTAAATCACTTATAAGAGCAGTATCTACTAGTTGATGTTGGAATCTAGATTAACGTTCAAGATTTTAAATTTGACGGTGTGAAATTGTTACGAACCAACCATCATAGTCAGATGAACACTCTCTCAGCATCCATAATCTTTGACCTCGACGCTCAATTGACACAACGTGTATATCCTATCTATACTAATATTGGTGCAAAGACTGATATGCAACATTATACTAGTTGGACGATGCTTTTCAATTAGCATTAGATGAGGCCAACAAGGTTAGAAGAATAGTTTGTACAAATTTGAACTATCGTAGAACCTTTTTCGAATGATACAGCACTACAATTATCTCACACTTGATGCATCTAGTAAAAAAAGTAATATCATGCAATGGATGTGTCTTTCGTCAATCGATGTATGATTCATAGCATATATCAAATACTATCAACCCATTTAGGCGCTTCTATAAAGGCTTGCAACATATTAGCATAAGTACAAGCCTTTCATTTTTTAGCATGCAATAGATCGTCTAAATATGTCAATATGGCCACTAGGCTCAATAATATAAAGTATTTGTAAATCCATGCCTAAATGAAATACAAAAGTAATATTTAACTAGATAATCACATCTATGAGTAATAATAAATAAATCAAATAATTATAAATACTTGGAAAAATGTCAAATATCCAATGATTTGATGCATATTTGCCCTACTCACAATGCCAAGCTGTCTATAGAAATAAGTGAGGCAAGCTATCTGCCAAGCAAATCTACCTGTGGCAGTGAGGTTGGTTAGTAGAGGTAAGTACGCTATCGATAATCTCTTCATGGTTTTGTCAACAAATAACGTATACCTTAGCAAATGGAATAGAAAAGCTCAAAATGCATAAACAATCGTCTCATCATCTGATGCATCAATGACATGCCTAAAGGTATCCCACAGCCACTAGAGTCTAATAGCAGATCCCTTAGCTCACATAGTTTTTGCTCTAGCCTTATTTGCAAAACTTCAAGTAACCTTACTAGTACTGTGTTCACCTCATCAATCATCAAATAATTCATTGAAATCGTGGTCTACTGAGTGACATATGTAGAAGAGCAAAAACATCATCTAATGTGATAGTCATCTCTTCGAATGGCATATGAAAGGTGTTTGTCTTTTACTACCACCTCTTAACAAAAGTCGATACTATCATGTTATTGATGATACAATAGGTGCAATCGATGAGTGACAACAACCCCGACTGAACAACATTGGCTTGGATACGTATGTGTGCATAATCTAGATGCCATATTGTAACTTCGGCCCATAGTTAATCGATTTCAATGTATCTCATTTCTGTAATAATAACAACAACAATAACAACAAAAATAAGATCAACAACAACATCACTAAATCAACAACATAAACAATAATATTAACAACGCTAATCAACTAAGGCACTCTAAAGAAATAAGCTAACATAATTCGTATTGTATGATTTAGGCGATTATTTGGTCATTCCAAATTTGTAATGCAATATGAAATCCAAAACTCAAAATAATCAATGTATCAACCAGACCTCCAAGAAATAATTCCACCTACTCATGTGTGGTAGGTGGGACAACCCCCTTATAATGCATGAGAGGCTCAGCTTAAGAGATGTTATCTATTGTATGGTTTTTTGACTCACCATCCCCTCTCTTAGTGTTTCTTCTTGAAGGCAATCGAACACCTCTGACTCTAACTGGGATCAATTTTGATTCCTTTACCTTTGCTAAGAATGCCTCTACCTCGTGTACAAGCCATATCTATAACAAAAAAACAACTTATTAAGCTTATAAAATATATTTAACAAACCCTAAACTTGAAAGAAAAATCATTATTGATGGTCTAATAATATTAATCAATACTATTGTTGATTCACTTGTAATGACAAAACATTAAAGTTAAAATTTGAAATAAATTACTTTGAACTCAAAAAAAAAAATTATCAATAATTTTTTAAATGAAAAATGACTTGAGACCAAAACAAACTTTTTTCCTTAATAAAAACATGTAAGCTCTTGAGTTTGGACGGGATCGATCTTCTTTGCATAAGGGATCGATTATTTTTATACAAAAAAAAACTTGATTTTAAAAGGGCATAAAGGATTGATCTTTTCTCAAAAATCCCTTTTCGTGAAGCTTGAATTCTACGTTGCCAAAATCGTAAATGCTAACCTATTTTCGCATACATTTAAACCAAATCAAAAGAATTAAATCACTAAATCTTACTTATAATAAGTGAAAAACTAAAAAAAAAAATTTGATTTTAGGGTTTGATGGATGAATTTATAGAGGGTTAATTGGATTGAGAGTGAAGAGAGAATAAGAGAAATTGGTTTAAGGGTATGTAAGGAAATTGGATTGTTAAAGGATTTAGTGTATTTAGTAGAAATAGGAATTTTAATTTTGAATTTTCGGATGTATTTAGTAATTGGGTGTAAAGAGTATTATGTGGAGTTTTTATAATTCCCCAAAATACACTAGTAATAAAGATGAAGAATTGAAGATAAGGGTGAGAGGAACAAAACCCTTTCTTTGCACTATGTTTTGATTAAAGGAAGGTGAACGAAAGGAAACTAAGGGAAATAAAAAAAAAACATTTCCTTTGTTTGGTTTATTATTTATATTTTAATTTAAAAAAAGGAAATTGAGCATCCCTCCTTTTCACTCAAAAGCTTCAATTTTTAACTACTCCAAACTGGAGTAAACAGAAAGGAAAGGAAATGATTAAAAAATTTTAATATAAAATAATTTTTATATCTTTATTATATTTTTATTATTTTTAAAAAATACTATTATAATATTCAAATTTAACCATTGATACTATCTTTAAATCTTTTGCATCTTTTTTCTTAAATATTTTTTCGGTCAATAACTTCGAATTCTATATATTTTTAATTATGTTTAGGTCTTAATTTTTTTTATTTTGTTATTGATTCACAAATTTTAAATAATAAAAATAAAAGAACATGACAAAACATTTGTAAGGGTAAGAAAATTCCCAAACTTAAACATATTTATGATTAGTTTTATCTTAATAATAAATATTTAAGTTTTTAATTTTCTCATTTATAGATTAATTTTGATAAAAAAATATTGTTCTATAAAAATAATTTCGAACATATATTTTTATGAATTAATTATTAATAATATTCTCTTTAATTAAAATTATTTTTATTAATTTTTAAATTTATTTAAAATAGTTAATATTAAGATTATTCATATTATAAAAAAATATTTTATTTTAAAAAAGTATAATTGAAGTAATATAAGACAATATCTCCTTTTTTGTTCATAACTTTACGGATTGTAATTAATCCATTCTTTTCTTTTTCCTTTACTCATTTTAGTTATCAAACAAAAATAAAACTGTCACTCCTTTTTCTTTAAAAACCTTTTCATTTTTTTTTTCTTTTCTTTTTTTTTCCAAACTTCAACGCTCAATTACAGTTAAGAAAAAGGGGGTGTTTGAGTTCGACTTTGATGGCGTGAAATTTGAACAACTTTTGTCCCCCTTTCCCAACTTTACTTGTTTTTCCTCTTTTATAATAATCCAACGCGAAGTGTCAGCACTTTTTTTCTAACTTTTATGTGCCAACCGTGAATGGGGTTTTTCAAACTACAACCAAACCGCACGTGCTAACAAGACACAGAAGTTGTGAGCAACGATCTCAACTCACACTTCGTTCTTCCTTTGACGCCGTCAGATAATCCGAACTAAAAAAGAGAGGAGAAAAAGTCAATTTTTCTTCCATCACCCATTTATTACGACAAGGCTTCATTCAACCGATGAATAACGCTACAATCCAAACACGGCAAAACCCATTTCCCATTTCTTTCTCGTCTTTTCTCTTCTCTTCTCTTCGCTTTTGCTTCTTTTCTCCCCCACGCTCACGTTAGCGATCATGGACCTTATGCACCATTCTTCCAGTTTTCTTCTTCCCACCATTCCCCCTGACCCTCACCACTGCCCTTCTCTAACGTACGCTCTAGTCCTTCTTAACCAAAGCCTCCCGAGATTCACTCCTCTGCTCTGGAAGCACGGTACTTGTCCCCTACATCCTCACTTTTTATGTTTTATTCTCATTAATTTATAATTTGTCTGTCTGAGGATTAATTGATTGCCTGCTTTTTGTATAGAGCAGGTCAGCTTCGCCTCTGTGCTGACGGTGGCGCCAACCGTTTGTACGATGAAATGCCTCTTTTGTTCCCTCTGGAAGATGCCTCTGATGTTCGATGCAGGTTTCTTGTCTTTCTTTCTCTGTCTTTTCTTGCTATATACGTTAACGCTTCGATTTTGTGTTAGTTTTAGTCCTCTTATGTAATTCAGTTGAAATCCATTTATTTTTCTCTATCTGAATCATGTGACTTAAATTCTTATACGAGTTAAAATCCTTTTGATTTTGATCAAAATTTGGTTCAACAATGGAGGATTTGTTAGAGAAATAGTTTCTTTCCATTATCTTAGTTTTGAGAACCATTTCCCAGATCTTGGTTTTTTAAATTGGTGTTTTCATTCTAACTGATCCTGGTAAATGCTTTCTTTGTTGTTATTATTAAGTGATGTGATAACATAGGCACTTTGCTTAATAGCAGATACAAACCGGATGTAATTAAAGGAGATATGGATTCAATACGAACGGAAGTACTTGACTTTTACATGAGCCTAGTAAGTTTTCAAATTTCTTTTTGTAGAACTAGAATCATTTAACTGATAATTTCGATGATGTTTTCCTTTTCGATTCTAAAGCTCGTTTTCCATCCATGCGTAAGCTTGCTCCCACTTATTCTTTGCCACTCTTTTGTCCTATGTGTGGGGATGCGCTGCTCTGTTTTTATGAGCACTAGTTTCTTTTTCCTTGCATTTGAGCTGTTACATCTTTCTAGTTCATAGATTTTAATTCCTGAGACGTTTTCACTTGCTTCTTTGGTGCAGGGAACAAAGATTATTGATAAATCTCATGATCAAGACACCACGGATCTTCATAAATGTGTAACATACATTCGCGACGTTGCTCCCAATTTGGATAAGTCTAATGTATGTTAAACTTAAATGTTCAATTTATTTTGTTGTAATAGTTACAGTTTGTGAACATTCAGGTTTTGGAAGCAGGTATTTCTTACATGTTAGGACAGGATCTGCACCATACACGCTGCATTTTATCTGTAGTGTGTGTGCTTAGATTGTTAGCTTATCATTTCTTTTTCCGGACTTAATGGCAGCTTTGCATTCTTGTTGCTGGAGCACTTGGTGGACGATTTGACCATGAGATGGGAAACCTAAATGTCATTTGTCGTTTCTCATCCCTGCGAATAGTCCTTTTATCTGATGATAGTCTCATCCATCTTCTTCCAAGGACTCACCGTCATGAGATACATATTCAAACTTCTGTTGAGGGCCCACACTGTGGACTCATCCCACTTGGGATGCCATCAAGGAGTAGTACAACAACTGGGCTTCAGTGGGATCTGAGTAAGTATATGATTACATTATTCTTGTTCTCACTTTCCATTTACTAGGCTGTGGAACTGAAATGGACATAATTTCATGATTTACTCATGTCATCAGTTTATCATGCCTTGTTATGCTGCTTTACTTTTCATTTCACTTGAAAATTATACTTGTTTGGATAGCAAATGTAGTCAGATGAAGAAGTCCTAAAGGGTACATAAGATAATTTCTCTTCTAGCTTATATTTCAATCTTTCCCGTTGTCTACTGTTCTTCCATTTTCTCCCAGAGCTGTCTGCGAATTTATGTTATAATGTTATTATTATTATTTTCTTATTCCAGATAACACAGAGATGAGATTTGGTGGTCTAATAAGCACATCGAATATAGTTACAGGAGATAAAGTTACGGTGCAATCTGATTCTGATCTTCTTTGGACCATTTCCATTAAGAAGTTGTAGCCTCTATATGTGTTTTCATGAGTAGCTTAGGCTGCAGATTTCACATTTTGTAAACCTAGGATCACTTTGCTCCCTTCTGATTCTTATGCCTATAATATATCTGGATTGTTTTTAGGTTGGGACAATGTTCAAATAAAAACCGTACCATGACACCACTCATTATCTCCTTTATGATTCTTTTGCAGTATTATTCTACCATACCATTGTAAATTTAGAGGTCCAGTTAGAAATACGAAGATCCTATATCCAAGTGTTGGTCACTTATTTGTAAGCTTCAGTTTGGTTCTATATTATTTATTTATGAATGGTTGGGTTGTTGATGATGATGGTGTACGTCATTTCGAAAGGTTGTTGGCCAGGCAGCAGTGATGAAAAGCTGCAATGTTGTCCGGATATCAACGGACAGCTTTTCTATTCTGTCCAAATTAAGTAAACCCTTTATATAGCACGTGGGTAGTAAGCCGACAAAGTTTGTTCCAATCCAAAAAGCTTTGTTCTAAATTTTAACCAATCCCTTCAACTTTAAGTTGCAAATAAAAGGGTTAATATGTAATTTGATCTGCAAATTATACTATTCTTAATAATTTGATATCCATAAAAAAGTTATAATTAATATTCAAATTTTATTTTCTTCAAATATTTTATATCAATAATTAATATCAACAGCTAAAATATTAATATAATAAGTATTGATCAATAAAAATATATATTAGGTGTGTTGCAAAATATTATTGTTGAAATTACTGGATCAACAGTCTAATGACCAAGGTGGCAAAAAATGGCGGTGGTAAGAAGGATTTGTTGTTGCTGGATTCAGTCCAAATTCGATCAACTGAGATAAAAAGGTGAAACGTGGTCCGACTTATTTCACTTTGGTGGGAACTGATCATTAATGACAGAGGGCGAACCATTACCAATGCAGATTTGCTTCTAACCTCATAACACATTATACGTCTCAATTCTCACCCAATTTTGACAACATCGGATTCCTAGTTTTTTTTTTTTTTTTATCATACCGCATAGGTCTAATATATTAATTTTTTAAAGAACAAAGAAAAAAATAAGTGTTCACATGGTATCTCATTTTTTTATTTTTTAATTAAATTTTATTAGTTTGGTTATTTTAATTATATTTTTTATTAAATAAATTTTGCTAAAAAAATCAATGAAAGTAGAAATAATAAAATAATTTATATTCAATTAGTTTTGATTTATACAAATCTAATATATTTAAGTTTTAAAAACATTGAGGTTAGATCGAATTTTTTTTTTAAATGGGGTCAAATTGGAGTTGGATTTAAGTTATTTCATCTTATCTTGAATGTTCACATGACACCTCCCTCTTTTAGTGTTTTTTTTTTAATTTTTTTATTTTTTATTAAATAAATTTTATAATAAAAAAGTCAAATGAGATAGATACGATAAAATAATCTGTATTCAATGATTTTGATTCGCTTCAATCCAATTGATATATTTTCTTTTAATTCAAGATAATTGGGTTAAATTTTTTTGATAAATCGAATTCAAGTAAGAGCAAAGCTTTAGATATTATGCCACAATCTTGATATATATATATATATAATATTTTTTATTATTTATTTAAATCTATATTTATATATGTACTTTATTAAAAAAAAATTATTTAGTACTTTAATTTAATAAATTTATATGTGGCTGTTTTTGTCATTTTTTTATCTTTTAAAATTTTATTTATTAGATAAATTTTGTGAAGAAAAAATCAATAGATATAAGAATGACAAAACAACCTACATACGATGGGTTTCAATTTGCTACAATCCAATTGATATGATTTTTTAAAATAAGAATTTGGTTAAGTTTTTTTTTTTTTTTGAACAACATGGATCAAGTTGAAATTGAATTTTGGGTACTTTGCTTTGATCCTCCTTAAGATATATAAAAGAATATATTTTATTATTTATTTTATTTATATTTATATATATGTATTATATTAATAAAGATATTATTTAACATTTTAATTTAATAAAAATTACATATATATAAATAAATTATAATTTATATTAAAAAATAAATATACTTACATTTATTTATATATTATTCATCAAAACTTGGCATAAAAATTTATTTTCTAATATTTAAAATATAATTTAAAAAAATAAAAAATAATCTTGTGATGAAACACGAATATAATTTTAGCATATTTTAAAGTTTTAATTTACCTTTAACATTTTAATCTTTATTCATTTAATTTATTTTAAAAAACATTACGCACTTAAATCTTTTTAAATCTATAATTTTTAAAAATCTAATCATCTAAAGTAATATTCAGTTGGCTTTGATCTTACCATATCTAAATGCTAATGTAAACCTAAAAACAAAAGCGAATTTTGAGTACAATAGGGAATAATAAAATAACGAAGGATTTTTCCTTCAAAAAAAAAAAAAAAACGAAGGATTTTCATGTGTGTACGACAACATATACTACGAACAAGTAGTACACATTGCTTTTTAGTTATGCTACTAAATTGTGTATTGACATTAAATATTGAATAATAAATATTTTAATTAAATTTTTTTAATTTAACATTAAACATTTAATTAATAAAGAAAAAGACATTAATCATTTTTTTGCTAAAATTTTTTTTATCCGTTTAGGTTATGTTTAGTACACAAAATAATGATAAGATAAAATAAAATAATATTATAAATATTATTAAATTAAATAATACTATTTTATCTTATATTTAATATGTAAAAGAATTAAAATAGAATAATTTATTAATTGATCAAAATTATCTAAACTTGATAATTTTATATATGACACGGTAATACGATATGAAAACGACACTAAAAAAATCGTATATTTTAAAAAAATGTATTTCATGTTTATTTGTGTCGACATAAATTTTAACACGACATAATTCATGTCATATATATGTTGACTTGTTTTAACATGAGATATGACATGAAAACATATTTAATTTAATCTTGTTATACAAGTACATATTTAATATATTTAACATGTTTAATACATTTTTTTATATTTATTTGAATTTAATATAAACATATAAAGATTATTTTAATTTTTAATCTTTTAATTATGATACTTAATTAGTTATTTAATATCATATAAAAATTATTTTAAATATTTAGTTATGATACTCATTTAATAATTATTATAAAATTATTTTTATATTAATAATATAAATACAATATTAATATTAATATTAATAATAATATTAGTCCTATATATTATTATTTTATTCTTTAATTTTTAATAGTTTATCATTTTGAATTTGATACTAAAAATTAATATAGGTATGTAATATAAATTAAATTTTAAATATATATTAAATACATATTAAATGGGTAGTAAATATTTTTTATTCTTTTAATATGTAAGCATTTTTTATATTATTAATATGTCAAATTTATTAAGTTGTAAATGATTAATAGTTTATTATTTATTATTTTAGTTGTGTTCTTGTACATATTTGTGTAAATCGTATCTATTTATATATATCTGTATTATTTGTGTTTATTTATATTATGTTTAAGCGAATTAATTATACATGTATTAATTGTGTTGTATCACCTGTAATATATATATTAAACGTGTTGTGTTCATGTTTAAGATTTAGAAACGTTTTATAATTCGTGTTATATTCGTGTTTTAATAATCTATGTCATTATATGTGTCAAATATGACACGAGACATGACATGAAAATATGAATTATCAAGTCTAAAATTATCCTTCCTTAAAGTTTATACAAATTAAATTATTGATGTAATTTTTAAAGGTATAATAGGATATATAAGTTTAATCCTATAAATTAAAAATAATCATCTCTACTTTGGGGAATTGAATCATCCTCTACCAACAAAATGATAATATTCTTTGTAATTCTATCCATTTTAATTAGATACAAATCAAATATAATATAAAATAATTATTATACTATTTTATCTATCATCATATACAACATGTCATGTTTGGTGCGTAGGATGATGAATAAGATATAATGATCATCATTCTATATTATGTTTGATTTGTATCTAAGAAAAGAGATATAATTGTAAGAAATATTAATCATCCTCTTATAAGAGGATAATTCAATTTTTTCAAAGTAGAGAAAATTATTTTTAATCCATGGAATTAAAGTTGTATTTTTTATTATACTTTTAAAAATTACATCCATAATTTAAATTGTATAAATATTGAAGAAAAATAATTTTGACAAACAAATAAAATTATCTTATCTTAATCTTTATATACATCAAATATAAGATATGATGATATAATTTAATTTAATTTAATTTTATTTATATTATCATCTTATTCTATTTTATCATCAGAGACGTTCATTGAGTTTCTAAATTTTTCTTAGGTTTATTATAAAAAAAAAAAACTCAAAAGTTTTGAAAATTAAAAGCTTTGTCCCTACTAAATTAAAGCTCAAACTAAATTTTTTTTATTATTTATCTAATAATTTACTAATTGAACATTGATGCTTTAGTAAGCAATTTCATTATAATATATATATATATACCTATATATATATTAAGTTTGTAAAATAACCAATAAATTATTTTTAGAAATTTTGGAATTGTTATACTTTTAATTCCTCTAAATATTTTGTTTAGGTTAATGCAAAAGGACCTTGTAAGGATTGCGAGATCCAAAGCTTAAACTAGTTAAGTGGTTTTAATCACTTGTTTAATACCAAAAAAAAAAAAAAAGTAACATAAAAATGTGTAGTAATAAAAACAAAAAATCATTTTTTTTATAAAATAAGTCATAGTGTGAGAATAGAAAAAATGTTACAGGTGTTAAAGTTTAAACCTCAAATGTATTGGATACCATCACTTAAGGATAATTGAATGAACTAATTAAATTAAATTTAGAATTCAATAAAAAATCATATTTAACTAACATATACATAGATTTATGTTTTCATTCTTCGTTTCATTGTATGTAAGAAAAAAATTATTTTTTATTTTTCAAGTTATAATAAATAAAAAAATGAAATATGTTTGTTTACTAAAAGCAAATGATAAAGCTAAACATATTAAAAATCAAGACATGTTTTATTTTTATTTTATTTTTTTATATATTATATCTATCTTTAATAACACTATAAGTAAAATTTTATTAAATTAATATATATGTATTTGTGTCTATGATGAAAGATGATTTATCTAAATAGTGTTTATATTATATTTATCAAGAACCATATAATTAATTTTAGCTATGCAATATTCTTTCTATTGCAAAAAGTTGTACCTCTTAATTTTATTTGTAATTTTGTATATAAATGTGTATTTCAATAAAAAAATTAAAATTAATGTGAAATATTTGCTTCCACTAATCATAAATCCTGGCTTTATTTTTATTTATTATAACCTTATACACCAAATACACCATTAAAAGCTTTGTACAAGTGCAATTAATAAAAAATTCAATCAAGATATTCAAATTCGTTGGATATGGGTTTAGTTGTTTAGTTATATTTTAGTTGATTAATTGATTATTCAATAATTATAGCTTGATTATGATGAATAATTAATTATTTAATTAATTATATGAATATAATACTTAATTATAATTATAACTTAAAAAAAAACACACATGGATTAGCTCATTTCATATCAAATTGGTTAAAAAAAAAAAAAATCGTTACGTGTGTATATATATATATATATTTATTGAAAATACAAAAGCCTATCAGTTGTAAAAAAAAATAGTAATGGATAAGGTCAGATCGAGTTTTTGCTCGATTTGACTCTAACTTAATCTCTTAATATCTATATTTGAACCTAATTTAATTCAATATTAAATTATTATTTTTATACTCTATCCATATATTCATAAAGTACAAATGATATTTGAAATTAATTTAATAATTTTAATTTAGTATAATATTTATAAAAATATTATTTTTAATATAAACTATATTTTAATTATGCATAAATATAATATTTTATTAAGTTAATATCTTAAATTAAAATCATTAAATAATAATTTTATTAATATAATACATATATAAATAAAAAAATATATTTTTATACATATCCGAATGGGGTTAGGGTAATAATACTTAAAACTCGACTTCAATCTGAATTTGATTTAAAAAAAAAAAACTCAATCTAACCATGAGTTTAAAAAAAAAAATTGATTCAATTAAATTAAGTGGATTAGAATCCGTGGAATACAAATTATTTTACTATTCTACTTATCAAGTTTATATATATATATATATAAATATATTAGAGATAATTTTACCTATATAAATAAATATATTAGAGATAATTTTATCTATATTCAATAAGAAATTTGATTTTTTATTTAAATAAAATAAAATATGTATAAATTTTTTTTGGCTAAATACAAAAAGGATGAATATGATATTTGAAATATATAATACAAGATGAGTAAGTAATATAGTACCCATCAACTCATATTCAAGATATATAAATATATGTATGTATGTTTGTATGTATTTAATAAATATATATAAATATATATTTATTGTATTATGTTAATAAATATATAAATTTTTTATTTATTTTAATTGGTTGTTTAAACTTATTTTGATGTTTATAATTTATTTGTTTTAATATGTATATTGTTTATAAATTTTTATTTATTTTAACAAATATTAAATATTTTAATATTTAACTTTAATTTTTTAAAATCATATGTATGAAAATTTTCCGTATCTGTTAAATTTCTACAAAAATAAACATATAAAATACAGGTACGGGTACAAAAATAAAATATATTTTTTAAAAAATAAGAATGTGAATTGCGGTAACCGTCTCAATTCCCGTCCTATTTCCCTCAAAAGCAAACTTCTTTTATATAAAAACAGTCAGATCGAATTCATAAAAAAATAAAAAGTGATATCAGCTAAAGGCTTAGTTGTCAGTCTCTTCTCAACAGTCAACCCTCTTCTTCGCTTGTCGGTATTTTCGATTTCATTTTCCTTTCTAATTTAGGGATTTAGGGTGAATGATTACCTTTTTCCCTCTTTTTTTTTTAACCAAAACAAAGCTTTAAATTTACCAGTAATGAGTATATTATTCTCCGACCGTGCTAGGGTTTAGATTTAACCCCTAATTGTTCTACTGTAAATAAGATTGCAATTCCAAGGTTTTCAAATCCTTTTCTTTATCTTAATCTTTTTGAAATTGTTATTGACTTTTTTCTGTTTTTCCTTTTCTTCTTGCAGATTTTTTGTTCTTCTCTAGGTTTCCACTTTATTAAAAAAAAAAAAAAAGATGGTATGATGTTCTCTAAGTTACCTTGATTGTCTGTTTGGTTGGTTATAAACACGGGGAAAATCGGGGAAAATCGAAACAAAACAAAAAGAAAGCAACTTTTCATATGCTATCAAAGGGTTTTTGTGTTAATTTTGGTTTCTTAGTGTGTTTTTGAATATTTTATCATCTTTCCTCCGCTAACCTGTTTATGTAAACCTTGGGCAGCTTCCTCTTTCTCTTCTAAAAACTGCACAGGGCCATCCTATGGTAAGAGCATTACCTTCCCTTTCATGCCTGTTTGCGACTTACCGTGCAAAAACATTGCTTCAGTTATTGATTTTTGAAAAAACTGTGGTTTTTTTTTCTTTTTGCTAACAGCTGGTGGAACTGAAAAATGGGGAGACCTATAATGGACATTTGGTCAATTGCGACACTTGGATGAACATCCATCTTCGTGAAGTTATCTGTACTTCAAAGGTACAAATATGAATTCATTCAATGTTTCTTATTTTATTTTATTTCTTTCTAAGAATCATATCTTTTTTTAATTATGGTTGGGATTTGATTGAAAATATAATGTAGGATGGAGACAGGTTTTGGCGAATGCCCGAATGCTATATCCGTGGAAATACAATAAAATATCTTCGAGTTCCTGATGAGGTACCCTTTACTACTTGTATTTAGCCGTTGTTTTGTTTCTTTACTTTGCATAGATAACAGTTTATCACGTTAACTTCATTCACTCTGTTAAAATTTATGAATGCTTGATTATTAGTTGTCTTTGTGAAACCATAGAGTGGAATTTTAGCTATTTTGTTGTTGAAGAAGCTTTCTTTGTCTTTTGTGGTGTTAAAAGGAGTATTCTTTTATCTGGAGCTAAGTGGATAATTTGATTTTTGTTTTTTTTATGACAACATCTGCCATCTCTAGAGAGACAAATTTTAGGTCTTCTTTTTTGATCACCTTTGGGTTCTACCTGTCCAAAATTTAGGTTTCATGTAAATATCGTTTCTTGGTTTTGTTATAGTTTTCTTGTGCTGTCCTCTAACCATTTTAGTAGCTTTTTTGTTAATCTACTAATCTTAGTAACTTTACCATTAAATTTCAGGTAATTGATAAAGTTCAGGAAGAAACGAAGAGTCGTGCTGGTATGATTTAATTATCTTGTTTGTTATTAAAAGGAATGGATCATTATCTTAATATTCAGTTTTAAGTAGAAACTTGGGTACAAGTAGTATGTTGCATTGCAACCATATATGCTATTTCTCTAAATGTCTGTTGCTGTTTAAATCATGTTTGGTTAAGTGTATGCTGAAAGTAATGTAATTTTCCTATCTACATAGTCCACTGTGTTTCGATTTTTTTGTTTGTATGCTTCATAGAATTCTTCTTCCAGCTTTTCCTCTCTTTGTTTTTTTTTTCCCTTTTATTTTTTGTTATCTTCTAGAAAACTGAACCCATAACTGGATGCCAAATGTATCAAAACTTTCCCCTTGAGTTGAGGTTGATACTGTTAATTACATTTGAGATTTATTTATGCATTTGAAAACTGGAGTTCTTAACCTGGCCGTTTGATTTTGCTGACTTATTCAGATAGGAAGCCTCCCGGTGTAGGCCGTGGCAGAGGCAGAGGTAGAGAAGATGGTCCTGGTGGAAGGCAACCAAAAGGAGTTGGGCGTGGGCTAGATGATGGTGCTAAGAGTGCAGGGGGAGGCCGAGTCAGGGGTGGTTTGGGTGGAAAGACAAGTGGAGGCAGAGGTAAACTTGCTGAAACAACAGCTGCACAAGAGTGTGTGTGTGTGTGTGTGTGTGTTCTGGCATTGAAAAAACTATGCAAAATGGTTTAGTAGCTCAGCAGATGATTGAATAATCCATCACGGCTGGCTCAACATTTGATAAATTCAGACTAACAGACTGGTGTTTTCCATTCTGGTGACAGGTGGTGGTCGAGGTCGAGGTTGATTTGATGCTGCTTTATTTTGGGGTAACGTTGCTATTTTAAGAAGCAGGTTGCATCCAATTGACTCAAGTGGCGGGTCAATTCTATCAGGGTGGTTGTCTTAAGTGCCAAATATTAGGTAGCATACTGGCTCTTCTCGTCCTAAAAGGTTAGGTGGTTGATATTTAAACTTTAAGAGCAAAGGTTCGAGATCTGGCACAGAAAAAAAAAAAAAAAAAGAAAAGGAAAAGAGGGAGCATTGCAGAACTCAGTTAAGGATGTTTGTATTGTGGTTTGTTATTTACCTTCGTGCGCTTTCACTTATTAAGGTTGTAGCTTGTAAGACAAATTGCTGTTAGATTTATGCGTTAAAAAGTTAAATGATTATCTCTCTGCTTTTTGTTTTGTCGACTTGCTTGAGACTTACCTGTCTACTAGTGGAATGAATTTAATTCTCTTCTAGAAATGCATGTTAAAAGAGCTTCAATTTTTGAGATAGGCCACATGTTCCTCTTCGCTTGAGGGTGAATAACATAAGTTTCGGAAGGGTGGTAAGCTTCCCCTCCATAGAAGCTAATCAGCCCAAGGAACGAAACAATTATAGTAAGGTTTTCATTTCTTACATTGCAGTACAGTAATTCAAATTTCTTGTTGCTGAACTGGGATTGAGGGAAAAAAAGTTACAAGAAAGCTATCAGAATCAAAGGCATGAGCTGAACGGTGGACGTTTAGTAGGGATGATGCCTACTCTTTTTGCGATTTCATGGTGACTTCATGACCAATGCACCTGAGATCCAGGATCGATTGGTCTCTAGGGAAGCATCAGCCATCCAACAACACAAGCGACCATCCTCGCCACCAGTCCATCCAAAAATGGCTAGGTTTTGAGCAGGCCCACTCTGCATGCTTGACATAGGCAATAACATAAAGAGCCAGCATTAGTCCCACCAATCATCCATAAATTTTCTCCTCCAAAACAGTAGCAATCAACAAAATAATCAACCTGCATAATCGGTAAGGCAGATTTTCGAATTGGACTTCTTGGTAAAAGATCCTGAATACGATTTGGAGGAAAAAAATGCTTTTAGCTTTTCAAATTGTTGAACCTGAGTTAAATGGGGCTAAAAGCAAAAACTTCCCATTTTGAACTTCTAAGAATGAGTTATAACGGGAAGAAAATAAACAACTTCAGCGTTCTTCTTTTTTTTTTTTATTATTTTTTTTAACTTATATGATCTAGCGTCCAACTGTCAGATGCTAACGAACGAGCATCCACAAAGTTTGCTTCATTTGTTCCGTCCTTCTAATTCCATACACCAAAAGGGTTAGTTAAATGGAGTTTAAGCACTAGTTCTGATTAAAATTTGTTAATATAAACCATTTTGGAGCAGGTTGTCAAAGCTTTAATTACTAAACGGACAGTAGATTTGAATGGAGCGTAAGAGAGGACAATGTGCTCGTATCTTTTTGCACATGATTTCACTTTGAGAGTGGTTTCTGTATACTTTGTTCCACGTATTCCAAGTAAAAGTAGGTCGCATCGTATTTCACCCACTGCAAACAAATGGAACAGAGCAGATTCCATCTCCCAACATTTTGCAAATTTCATAAAACAAAGCCCTCATGATCAAGTATAAAGATACCCCATGGTCTCAAAGTTTGTCCATCACCAGAGCTTCTCAGAAGAGTCCCCACAAATACCAACTTTCCCAATTGAAGTTCCAATATTGATCACCTGAAATATTGTGATAAAAATTAAATTAGATTCTGAAAAGAAGTTTGCCAAAACAGTGACAGGAGTTTGGTAAAACAGAAACTATGCAATGCATTCTCTAAACTAATAAATCAAGCAACAAAGTAGTACATTCTAAGATTATGAGCATGGGAACGAGAGATTTCATTGGTAAAAGAACTAGACTTCTTATGTAGAGTGTATAGACTGAAAGGAGATTAATTTAAAAAGAATGAGGTAGGAACTAGGATATCATTTATCAGAAGCATTCATAGAAGGCTAAACTACAATTAACTCATGAGTTAGCAGATTGCTTAACAGGCCAATCAGCTGTATGCAATAATAGTCCACCCTATCTGCGCTGAAACACAGGATGACTTTGCGATTATATATCACTCTTCAACAACGCCACCAAGCAAAAAATATTCAATTTTGTACGATAACAATACAGCAACAGAATTACCATCTACCTTAACTGCTACATGTTTTTAATGATTGGAAGAAGGACCTGAGAAGAAACCTGCATTAACAGTTGATAAGGGCGAGGAAGGGAAACCCACTAGTGTGTAGAACAGTCATTGAGGAAAATAAAATAAAAACCATATGCTTGTGTGCACTTAGAGATTCAAGATGATCATCATCATTGATGTCTCGATTGGTATCAAATATGCATATCAATCCATTGGCAGAGCAGAAGCAGAAGCTAGTTTGTTTTGATATACATTTTTGAAAATTAACCTATAAACAATCAAGATAAACATCAATTATGACAATAAGCTACATGATTCAACCAATAAAAACCCAATCTTTACAAATTTATTGCTGAAGCACTAGTAACATAAAGTGGGAAAGACTTAAATGAAGTTTCTTAAGTGAAGTTCCTGAAGTTTCGTACTACAAACGATGAAATAAAAAAAGAAAATTGAAATCACAAGATATAAATTGAAAGGTTTTATTATATAAATCATGTGTAAAATTTTAATAAATTTTAATATATTTTTTAGATAAGCAATTTTAATAAAAATGTTTATAGAATTTTTACCCTTTAATGAGTACCAATCAAATTTCAATTATAAACTACCTTTTTAATGACTTTTTACAAAGTGAAAAGGTATCACAGGCAAATAATTACTCAGAAAGCCTTGCATTATTCTTACCTTCATCATCGCTGTCTTCAAAGTCACCCATGCCTCCCATATTACCAAAGCTCTGCACAACCCCACAATTATTAGGTCAGAAAGGAAATGCTCATAAGTAAAGGAAGGAAATCGAAAAGTGTTATATCTCTATGACGAGAAGTCCATTCCTCCCAAATCAATATCACCACTACCTAATTAAAAATATTAGCAATCAATAAAAATGTATCAGCCTTTGCATCAATTTGAATAATCTTTTTCCACCACACTTTCTCAGCCTTGTCCAAGATGGAGAACATGCTCATGAATCCTATACTAATTTTGCTTTACTTTTGTCCAAAGAAACATACAGTAAGAAAAAATTTCAGACTCTCAAAATCCTTAAAAAAATATGAGAGAAATGTAACAATTGGCAATGTAACAATCCCAGATAGGCAATCTAATCAAAACCCCACCACAGCATTTCTTTCCAATAATTAATTAACTGACCAGATTAATGACTTAAAAGCATGTTTATACCAACAATGTTCAAATATCTAGAAAATTTCACGTTTTCCCATGTTTCTCGTTGCTGTCAAATGAAATTTGAAGACAAACAACAATCGCTATACACAAAGATACTTAAAAGAAGAGATTTTAAAAAAAAAATTTTTGAAAAAGACAGAATAAGGACTACAATGTCAAAAGTGTAATATCAATAAAATCAGTTTGGGGTCAAAAGATCGAAATTGATATATGTCCTCAAATATTTAGTTTATTAAAAATGATCGAGAAAACATTAAAAATTTAATTTTAAATTTGAATTTTTTTTCTTTTTATTTATATTAAGATTTTGTTTTTTTGATATAAAAAAAAAAAACTGGACTGTTAAAAAAATTCTAAAAATCGAAAAAAAAAAAGATTATGAAGCTTACCGCAATAAAAAAAATACAAAGGAGAGAAAGTACAGAAAGTAAAACCCCTGAGAAAACAGAAAATTACCGAACAGCCATTGCCCTTTGGCTTTATGTTACGGGTATAATGTCCATATCCTTCTAGTACTTTCATTTCCAGGTTCTTTTTAATGCTATTGCGTGGAAAGTTCTGTTTTGTTTATTGCATCAGCCTCTTTTCATTATTGATTTATATTTGGAAGGAATGCCATCGGACGGTTCAAAATCATCAACATCATCAAAAGTGTGGGTGGCCCTGTTATAACTGGCACATTTGAATTTGGATATAAGGTTTTCATGAATTTGTTTGTTATTATCTATTACTCTAAAAAAAAAGGACCTGTTTCCTGAAAAAGGCATTTATATTTTCATAAAAGGTCCTGGCAATTGCCTGAACCCTACCCCAGTCCAGGCTTGCAAACGCAAGGACGATGCCCAATAAAACCCATGTTCGTATTTAGCGCTAGGCCACACCACCCTGGAGCTGCCCTGCTATTTGCCATTTTATGAGTGTTGACCACTGTATCTACGTGTCACAAGTTCACCTTTTCAACTTAAAAAAAAATCTTTACTTAGCGAAAAAAAATTATGATTTATAAATTTAGGATTTATTTTACCGACATTTTTCTCATTCAATCATGCAACCTCTTCATTACATTGATTTTTTTTCATTCGGTGAGGAAAAAGATTCACCTTGATCCATCTTAATATCTCTTATAAGAATTATCTATAAACCTTTAATTTAATAATTAAAAATATTTTAAAAAAATCAAAAATTTAATTTCGAATTAAATCTTTTTTTTCTTTTATGTATATTAAAATTTTACTTTTATGATGTAAAAAAAATATATAAAGAATTAAATCTACTCTCACACCATATGTTACATATCCACATTTCTAACCTGAAAAATCATTCATGTTAGATAAAGGAAAAGACTCATGATTTATATGGCCAAAACCCTTTTTTTTTTTTATCGATGTAAAGTTTGTACGTACACAACCTGGCAACCACGTTCAATAGACCTTTATCGGGAAAAAGAAAAATCCCAATAGAAGTTCCCAAAAAAAAAAAAAAAGAATGGTAAAATCGTTCCAATGGACAATGAGCTAACGAACAAATTTTAAGAGAATTTTAAAAAAATTATTTGTAAATATAAGTAAAATAAATAAATCGCTATTCATATTTTGATTCATTTAATAAATATTTTTAAAAATATTATTTAATATAATTTATTAAATTTAATAAATAAATAAAAATCAAACAATTCACAAATAATTTTCAAAAACTCTGTTTATTTACTCCCTACTAAACTTTGATCTTGTACAAATTTTGGAAGCCTGGTTGGTTCGCTTACAACAACACCAGGTATCATCATCTTTGTCCATTCAATTATGTGCTTTTTCTAACTGCGTTGGGGCTTTTGAGGATCACCCCGTCTTTCTAACACACAAGATGCTCGAGGTCCTTCACTTCAGGCATTGAGCCACGTGACTTACTGTTATAATTATAACAAAAGCTATAATTCAATTTATTTTATTATATTAAATGTTAAACGTTTTTACGTAATACAAAACATTACTACTAAAAAAATCCATTTATGTTTG